CACATTTGGCTCCGTCGCGGAGGTCAACTGAGGAGCTGGCTGTGTGTAAGTGATGTTTAAAGATCTACCAGCCAACAGAGAGCGAACTGAAGCAGCTTGAGGTCTGGACGCTGATACATCCAGTCAGAGTGAACATTCTGATGAAGCAGATTTGTTTCCAAATGGAGGTGTGACACAGTTTGTCTTTAGTTTCACAGACTGTGCTCCAAAACACCCGGAGTTGGACATTGACTTGATCTCTCTCATGCAGATTTTGTTATCCCTGACTCAAGTAACGACAGCTTCATATCCAACAAGCAACATGAGAATCAGACAGTTGCTGCACAAGTCGCTGATTTTGTTTGTGTTTTTCATTGATTAGACAGCTCCGACAGGAAACATTTCAAGCCACACTACAGTTACCAAGATGTTTCACTTAAAAAAAAAACAAACACAAATGTCAACCTCATAGTGGCGCTAGATAAAAAGTCAGGTGATCACCAAAGTCAGTGGGATTCACCCTCTGGGGATCATAAATGTCTGCATAAAAATTTCATCTCAATCCATCAAGAACATGTTGAGATATTTTAGTCTGCACCACAGTGATCGACCAACTAACAGGCTGATTTTGCCATCTCTGGAGCCGTGCTGCCATCGTGGCTAAAAACAATGATTATATTACATTAGCATTTAACAGCTACAGCTTACATTATGCTTTAGGCATTCTGTCAAATCCTCAACAGAGTTGTTAAAAGTTCATGAAATAACTGCAGTCTTTGGGTAAAAGATGTTTCTGTCGGGTGCAGCAGTAGATAGTCATTAATCATAGACGAAGCAGAAAACCTCAGGAACATGTTTGTTTCCAGAAAAAGCAGTGAAAGAAACTGTTAACGAGAAAAAACATTGTCTGGCTGAAGTTTGTGAAACAGAAACTAGGTTGGAAAAAAACAGCCTAAAAGAGCTGAAGTCCAGCACACTAGTAGGACTGATGCATGTTGGGATTGTAAATGCTTGATTAAGAAAATCTCTTTGTAAATCTAACGCAGCCTTTTTGTGAAGGTCAGACTCTCAGGTGAAACCGGCAGCGCCCCCCCCACAGCGGTGTGAACCTGTAAATGTGGGCAGCACATAGAGAAACCACAGGACCTGTTTCAGTTGGCCCGCTAACTGATGCGTGCTAACAGAACAGGCTGGACTGAGAGCAGCAGCATGAAGCCAGAGCTCCTGAGTGTGTGTGTGTGTGTGTAGTGTTTAAAGTGGAACTGCATTTAGTGAGTATTATTCAAGTGGCAACCGACGAGGCTGAAAAATAAAGCCAACGTGAAGTGCCAAAAACTGCAGTTCCTCTAATGGCCACATGAGGGTGGCTCCAAAATCCAGTCAATCCCCATAGACGCCCAAACTCAAGTGTCCAACTTTAAAGCAGAAATACACGTTTACAGCCTGGTACAAGAACTGTTTTGGACTCTATAGCTAATTTCAACATTAACAACTGTACAGGGGAGTGAATGTTCAACCGTTACATTTTATTAAGTCTTAGAGTGACACATAATTAAGGGCGTAGCTGCTTTGAGCAACAGGCTGTCTGCTAATAATGTCCTCTGCATCTCAGTCAGATCCACCCTTCACTCCTCCACAGCTCCACCCTCCTGCCCAGATATGGTCACTTCTGGCACCAAAAAAGATGGCGACAGATGAAAAGCCAAAGTCGAGGCTTCAAAATGGGAGTCAACATCCAGTGGGTGACATCACTGTAGCTACGTCCATTATTTTTAAAGCCTAATTGGACTTAAGGACTAAATACAACCCCTTTGTGCCTTGCGCCCTACTGTGCGCCCAGATTGTGCACAGCTTAACTGGGAAAAGTGTAATTGGTCACGCCTTTAATGCACTTGCAAAATGCACTTTAGATCATATGCAATCAATTGTTTGAATAGGACCCTTCATTTTAAGCCAAATCTGCATAGCTTGTTCAACGAGCCATCAAACAAACATCACCAGAGACAGGCTAACTAACAGAAGGCTAATTAGCTGCAGCATATTGAAGAACTCGCTCCTTATTCTTCAAATCTGCTGCTTAACTTGTGAGCTACAGTTTCCACAACAAGTCTATTACATCGTCACTCTGCAGACTCAACTGTCAAACACAGACACTGTAAAGCAGCATCTCTGATATTGCTCCAAAGAAAATCTTCTTCCTTTCAATAAAATTAACATCAAAGTTAAACACCACTATGATATTATTTTCAATTGCAAACAGGATTGACTAACTGGGACTAAAGTTGGACTTTAAGTGTGGACAGAGACATGATGCCATCCTAATGCTGTGAGGTGTGTTTGTTTCTCCCCAAAGTCCCACAAGATTTGTCTTTTTTACACAATATATAGCTCTTGCACAAACAATATAACACATGTATTACTATCAAGATAACTACCCAGGTTTGATCTTGTGTGCTCAAGATTCAACTGGAGCTTCATATATGTGAATATTTAAAGAGAGCAGATAAAGACTGGTATTAAAATTAAAGCCCCTACAAGGAACTTTCATTCTGAGTTGATTGTGGCGACCCTGTGGACAAAAGCGGTAGTGATTTGCAGGAATGAAGCCTACATTTCCCATGAGCTCTAGCGCGTATTGTCGTAAAGACGCTTACCTGGCTCAGGCATGTGTTTGTTTTGGGGATGAATGAAACAACAAGACGGGAAAACTCTGCCCCAGCTCCTATCAGGGATCCCAGCTCACCTCTGCCGCGCCCCAGCTCCACCTCTCCGGCGTAAGCGCCACCGACACCGGGGTAAAAGCAGCGGTAGGCTGATAAGGCTGAAAGACTATTTGGCGAGAACTTCCACGGCAACTTGGACTGAGTATGGAGCGGTGCCTCGCCTCTTTATTTCTCAGCACTCACTGGACCCTGTCGACACCTGGCTGGTACCTGTCGTCGGCCCGGATGAGGTGTTCCAGCCCCGCGGCCCCTGCTCTCCTCGTCCCCGCTGGCGCAGGGTGATTCTGCGCAACCTGCAGCCTCTGTGTGTGGCTCCCCGGACAGCTAACGCCATGGACCCGCCAGCTCCTGCCAGGATTGGGCTGGTAAATGCTAGATCGCTAGCGAACAAAACGTTTATCCTGAAGGATTTCCTGACTTCCCGAGGATTGGATTTTCTCTGTGTGACTGAGACGTGGCTGACTGTTGGTGAGTCCAGTCCAGTGCTTTCACAGAACTTTTACCCGATGATTGCTGCTATTTTAACTCCCCGCAGACGTCGGGTCGAGGAGGAGGAATAGCGACTATTTATAAGAGTCACTATAAATGTAAGCAGCTAGGTAAGATGACGTGTGCCGTCTGAGTGCCGTAAATCGCTTTGTCCTGGAAGCGACCTGGGGCGGACCCGGAGACAGTTTCCTAAAGGTATGGATATACACTATATAGAAATAGCTTATCTTCACACCGATGGTCTCATTTGCTGTTGTAGGTCACGCACAGACATCAGCAGAAACGAGAGACTTTTGCATATCCAGTTAAAAGTTCATTGCAGCGGCTTTAAGCAAAAAGAAATTGTGGGAATACTGAGGCATTTTTTCTCTAATTTCTGGATTTCCATTTTGAATTTTTCAAAACCAATTTGAAATAAAAGTGGATAGAGACATTACAGGAGGTCTGTTTGAGTGTGTATACTGTGAAATTCTACGTGTTTAAACTACAAATGTGTATGAATTCTGTTACTGCATGTTTCAGTGTATGTGTATTCACTGCATGCCGTGTTATTTCTATTTCCCTTTGTGTGTGTGTGTGTGTGTGTGTGTGTGTGTGTGTGTGTGTGTTCTGGGACATAAAGCTCTCTTTCTTTCAGCTCCACTCAAAGCTCACGTCGTCTGTCAGCCTTCATCACTCTCTCACTCCCTCTTTTTCTCAACCGTCTCCCTTTATTTTATAACTCACATCGAGTCCAACATGTCAGCCATCCTCTGTCACCCTTCATAAACCCTCACACACACACACACACACACACACACACACACACACACGGAGGCAAATTTACTCAATACTGTACTTAGAGAAATATTTCAAATTTGGCCTTTTACTAAAACTGAGCTGTCTGTGCAGTAGAAAGATGCAAATACTTTTGAAAGTGGCGCTACATAAAAACAAGGCCGGACTCCGTATATATCTCCATACTCACTGAGACATACTCAACAACCTTATTTCTCAATTCCCAAAGCTAATGAAGAAACTGGCAGACACAGCTTCAGATTCAAAGCTCCCTCTGACTGGACTCATTTGCCCATCAACATAAGAACAGTCAACTCACTGCTCCTCTTTCAAAACATGTTATTATTCTTCCTTCCTTCCTACATCATGTCACTGTTTCTGATGGTGATGTCTTCCTGCCCGCTTGTATTGTGAGGCATGCTACTACTATTATTATTCTATATACTATACTATTCACTTTTATTATGTGCAGGTGTGTGGGCTTATGGGAATGATGTGGGGGTGGGTCAGTAAATGAGAGCCATGTATGTATGTTTTATGTTGTGATTGTGTCTATTGTAATAAAGTGTGTTGGACCCCGTCTAAAACCAGATGGTTCATCTCAAGGGGCTGTCCGCTAATAAACATTTAGGTGAGTATCTACATGACCAGAGAAAACACAGAAAAGGGGTTGTGGCATTTGCTTTTGCTCAAGAGGTAAAAAACCTACAACTACCAGAATGCACTGCGCTGCACCTGAGCAATAAACGCTCCCACTGGTGGGTGAGGTCATGCAAACTCGTCTTTGTTTGACACAGAGGCAGCCGGCTGGTAACAAACGACCAAACAGATGACATATTTTGCAGATGCAGAACTTGTACTTGTAGTGAAGTATTTTTACAGTGTGGTATTAGTACTTTTACTTAAGTAAAGGATCTGGACCCTTGTTCCACCTCTGGCGTTCACAGAGTTCATGTAAATTTGTAAAACATACAAAAAACACACAAACGTGGATGATGGCTGATGGATGTGAAGCTCTATCAGTAATCTCACCTTGTTCGCTGCTGTTGTCGCCGCTGTGAGACGTGTGTCCACCGCTGGATGGTCCCGGCGTCCCGGCCGACCGGATCGATGCTGCGTCGTCATGATCTCTGCTCCATGATATCTGCAGAGACAAAGCCAATCAGACATAGTTCACAATAATGACATCACTCAGGTTAACAGATGAATACTGTAGCGTAGAAAGAAGGGTGTTTATGCTGTCTGGTTGATCTTGTAACCACACAGATCCAGCTCAAATCAGAGCCTGAAGTCCTGACACACCAAGCCAACCGCCAGCCATTAGTCAACGCTGGGCCATTGGTGAGCGTCTGTCGCCATAGTGGGCGTGGTGTTCCTCTTGTCGATGCCCGTCTGCTTTTTTTTTTTTGCCATTTTAGTATGTTGAATTGGCGTCAGTGACTGCGGAGCCCGTTGGTGAATGAAATCACTCTGATTGGCAGTTCAGCTCAGCGCACGAGAAGAAGAACAGAAGTGAGGAAGGTAAACAAAGGTAAACAAAGAGCTAAAGTCAAGAGGGAGTGAGACCAAACTTAACTTCTTATATAATGTAAGATCATTTTTTTTAATCCACTGAGCTCTTTAGCAAAAACATTTCATGATGGTTTGTGTTATTGTTCACTGGTGCACAGTAAAGAAACTCTGTTCTTTCAACAGTAAATTGTGTTGTTAATGTGCTAACTGGCTAACTAGCGACGAGACAGTTTTCCTCTCTCCCTTTTTGAATAATGAATACAGACGACCGCCACCTCCTGGTGTGGAGAGTTATGTCCTCTCGAGCTGGTGCAGAGCGTATGTGCTAGCTGAACATCGGCTGTAGTCTTTGCGGTGTTTTCACGTGCAACTTTTTTAGCTGAGACACAGGTGATATGAGGCGATGCAACAGTTAGCTTTTGTGGCCGCTAGTTCTTTGAAGTTGGTTTGTTGTGTGTGGCCTTACTCACTTCCAATTTAGGAAACAGATATCAGCTGCTCTTCTGATGGGGGCCGATAAGGGGCAACGATGCGAGACACATCGTACCAACTAGGGGAACAGATGCTACCCTACAGCTCAACATTGACCAATGGCCAGCTGTTAGCTTGGTGTGTCAGGGCCTATAGATTTTACACTGTGATGGTATCGCAATGATTTTTAAATTTCTTGACTTGGCGCGAGGAAAGTTTTACAAATATAAAACCTCCATGGATCATAAAATTAATTATAGTCATAACTGACCTTGTTCACAGTTTGAGGTGTCCTGTCAACAATTTTACAGACGTTTCTTTTATAATGGTGGTCTGTGGGGAAAATGCTTTTTGGGCTGCAATGCTGCGAGTGGCCACTGGGAAAAATAGGAAGCAAGGCTGAGCTGCGTTCTTTGAGACCTACTCAAACTCAACAATCTGCTGCTATTCCACCTGTGCTGCATTCAGGGACACGCCAAAAATTTCGAGAGTGTCCGTTAGTATTATTCTGTTCCCAACGGACACACAGGAGATAAAAAAAAAAGTAAAAGTTTGCTGATACCGCCGTCTGATTCTGTGGAAACATGAAATAGATCATGTAAATCATAATTTAAGTTGCTTTCTTTAGAGCTCAGAGTCAGAACAGCGCCACCTACAGAAAGTCAACCTGAACAAACATATAAAGAGCATCATTGCCCCGCCCACTCAGTTTGATTGACAGGTGATCAGTGCAGAAACAACTCATGTATGTAACAAAGGATGGAGACTAAAAAAACAGGAAGAACCAGGAGGATTATCAGCGTATCATCTGACCAAAGAGGAGGCACTTGAAAATGAAACCAGAGCTTTGGAGCTGCTGGTCATCCGACACTAAGCTGCTGGAGTTCACACTTCTGGGTGATTAAAGGGTTAAAGGCCTGACAAGTGGCAGCTGAGCGCTTTGCTGCGAGGCTGATTTAAAACCTGCTCGGCTGCCTCACAAAACAGACACAACCTGACTCCTCACCTCTATTATATCTGCTTCTCTGGGAAAAGAGAGAAGTCTTCACGAGTCCATGAGGAGAACAGAAAAAAGATCTGTGTGTGTGTGTGTGTGTGTGTGTGTGTGTGTGTGTGTGCGTGTGTGTGTGTGTGTGTGTGTGTGTGAGATCTGTGGTCAGACAGATGAACACACAGCAGTTTTAAACTGACTGGTTTCCAACAGCAGATGTGACTCCTGCAGCTGGACGATCAAATCTATCTGCTCATATTCTGTTTTCCCTTTTGGGAGGATTTCAACATTTCAGTTTTGTTTAATAAAACCTGCAGGGCAGCTTCAACCACTGCCAAACATGAGTAATATAGTTTAACAAAACAGTCTTAACTCAACACAAAGGTGTGCAGACACCTGGCATCACAGGCTGGCACTACGATGTGAAAGGTCACCTCTGTGGCGGTGAGGAACCACAGCTTGTGCGTGAGGTGGAGCGGTACCTAAGAGATAAATAAATGGACTTGCCTTTACAACCAAACTCCTGTAGAGTGGCGGGACTCACCCAAGGTGAGAGACACCAGCGGATGCAAGCCCCCGCTGAGTACTGCTGTCTTAAGGCCCGGATAAACCAAACTAACATAAAAGAACTAGTGGCAGTGAAGACCGACTGTTGCATCACCTCATGTCACCTGAGTTTCAGCCAAAAGTTGCACATGCACACACCACAAAGACTGCAGCCAACGACCAACTAGCATCTTCATTCTGTGCCTGCATGAGAGGAATTAACTCTCCACACCAGCAGGCGGCGCTAGTCTGTATTCGTCATTTAAAAAAGGGAAACCTCAAGACGGACAGGACAGACCCAAGACGCTAGTTAGCCACTTAGCACATTAAGAACACCACCCGATGTTGAAAGAACAAATGATATTTACCGTGCGCTAGCGAATAACAAGCAATTGGTAACTGTTTCTGCAAAAGAGCTCAATCGCTGCAATCTTTCCTCATATAACAAGTTTGTTTTGGTCTCACTCACTCTTGACTTTAGTCAGTTGTTTACTTTCCTCACTTTTGTTTCTCTTCTCGTACGCTGAGCCAATCTGACAATCCAGACCGGTTCCATCGGCGCGGGACACACTGACACAACTAGGACGACAGAGTACAGCCGACCATCACCTTGATGTGTCGATGCCCTTAAGGCTCATTTATACTCTCCTTTACATAGATAGATACGTCCATCTCAAACATTGTAAGCGTCGCTGCCCTCATACCTCCATGCATCCTTTATGATGGCATTGATACAGCCAGTAGAAAGTTTCACACAACACCAAATGAAGTGACAGTGGAGGAGGTTGTAATATTGCACCTTCAAATGGAGGCAGCGTTGTAGACGGCCGTGGGCTGTACAGCAATTAGCCTATATATACATCCCGACATGTGGACGAAGAATTTCTTTCACTATTCTCATAATATATCCCTATATGTTAGAATTTATTACCAATACGGTCTGGCATTATTCAAATTTCTTCGTCGTCTCCTACAGTCGTATCTTGCTTGAACTATGCTACAGTGCCCGCACCATCTCCAGTGGTACTACCCTGTTTTGTCCGTATCCATAAGCTTTCAGAAAATGTGCACAAATACTGATGAAATGAAGGCAGAGTACAGACAGAAGTCCATCTCCATATCTGTCTCTAATAAATTTGATTGTATTTCTACAAATGCATGACAAATAAAGAGATATCTAGCGCAGTGGAAGAGAGGAAATCTGTTTCACCATCGTAGCTACGTAGTCTAGGTTATTACCACAGCAATCAATGCAAACAGGCTGGTGATGTCTAGATACACAAATCAGATCTGATCACTTGCAAATAAGAGTGCGGACAATCTGTCTTAGGAATCTGACTGAAGAAACAAATCTGATTTGCCTGCAGCGTGAACGTCTCTGTGTGGCATCCTGGATGCAGGACGCAGTGTGAGGACTCTTAAGTTCTGCTCAAGGACTTCAACGCTCTTGGGACAAAGATGGAGAAAACTGCAAAGGGATGACTGGGAGGAATGGCCTCCCCATCTGAGCCTGTGTTACTGGACTCCTGTGTTAGTTATGGCGAAAGGGCGGCTGCTTTGTTGGTCGCCAAAGCAGAAACCAGGGTATGTGGAGGAGGCAGAGTTTGAGGCTTCAACCATATCCCACAGGTCTTTGAGGTAGACTGGAGGGTGTGCTCAAACTATTGGGAATGCTTATTTCAGGGTGCTGAAGAGGAGTCTGTAACTGATAGCCAAATCTCAGACCTGGGAGGAGCAGTGTTGATTCCGTCCTGGTCGTGGAACAGTGACTCAGCTCTTTACCTTTGCAGGACTGTTGGAGGGGTCATGGGAGTTTGCCCATTCAGCCTACATGTGCTCTGTGGACACAGTGGCAGTGTGGGGTTGAAGGTAGACACTGCTTCAGCCGCGTTTCCACCGAGCAGCCAGATACAGTTCAGTTCAGTTCAGTTCAGTTCAGTTCAGTTCAGTTCAGTTCAGTTCAGTTCAGTTCGCTTCTTTCCGTTTCCTCTGTAAAAAGTTGTGGATGGTACCAACAGAGCCGTTCCTTACTGTCCCCATTTCAGGTCCCCCCTCTGTTGGGGTGCCTAGCACACAGATCTGGGGGCTCATTTATAAACATTGTGTATGCACAAAACGAGGCCTGAAAGAGGAGTACGCCACATTTCTGAAACGGGAAATTTGCACTTTTCCGTACGTACATTTTTAGTATGGATCCTATGTGTTGTTTGAGTAAAAAATCAATCAGACAACTGCAGCTCGTCCAGAACGCTGCTGCCAGAGTCCTCACCAACACCAAGAGAGTGGAGCACATCACACCAGTGCTTAAATCACTGCACTGGCTTCCTGTGTGTCAAAGGATAGACTTTAAAATCTTGTTACTTGTCTATAAAGCACTAAATGGTCTCGGGCCTAAATACATCTCTGATATACTTGTACGTTATGAAGCATCCAGACCCCTCAGATCATCTGGAACAGGTTTACTCAGTGTTCCCAGGATCAAAACCAAACAAGGTGAAGCAGCCTTTAGTTTCTATGCTCCCCGCCTGTGGAACAAACTTCCAGAATATCTGAGGTCGGCTGAAAGTGTCAACTCATTTAAATCAGGGCTTAAAACATTACTATTTACTGCAGCTTACCAGTGAACTAGATATGTAACTTATTGTTAGGATAATCTGTAGCTATTGTTTTTATATTTGTCTGCTGTTGCTTTTGCTTTATGTTTGCTTTTTAAATGCATTTTCTGCACTGTTTTTCTTGCTTTTAGCTTTTGTTTTTAATGATCTGTTGTTCCTTTAATGTTTTATTTTAATGTATTTCTCTTGTAAAGCACATTGAATTGCCTTGTGTATGAATGGTGCTATATAAATAAAACTGCCTTGCCTTGCCTTGTTTACTGAATGAGACCCCAGGCACTAAAAGGTGGAGCTGTGAACACTGCATAATAACAATAATGATCTTTATTTATAAAGATTGTTATTATAGTATTATTATTATTAATTATATTTCTATATAATTATATTTAAGTCCTCACAACTTTTAATCCTTATTATTAAAGAATATAAGCTGGTGTTTAGTGTTCTTGCTGTTGATATTTTAGAACTTAATGTGCACTTCAACAAATCAGGGAATTTATCTTAATAAAGTATCATTAACATTGTTTAACTTTTTCATGCAGCACATTAATTAATAATAAAAACTGTAATTGAAACTTAAATTGACCTGTTGTTATGTGCAGATGTGCACAAAAGTCTGAATCATAAAGCCCTTTAGGCATCAGATAACACAACATCTGTAACGTCTTCTGAAAATCAGATATATGATTTAATTAAATAATAACTGATAAGTGAGCTGACTCAGACTGTGTAGTGTCCTGCTGCTCTGTGTATCTGTACGATCTGACACCATCATGTCATGACACTGACACGAGACAGCAGCAGAAAACATCTCGGTGTGTATCAGTTTCCAGAAAGTGACGGTGAGCTCACCTGATCCATGTTGTTCCCTGATGACCTGATGAAGTCCTCACTGTCCGACTTGTTTCCATCTCGGTCGTCTATAACCAGATCGATGGGCATTTTCCCTTTCAGACAGCTGATGTACCGATGACAGAAGTTATCGCAAAGCTCATGAACCTGGAAATAAAATATACAATAAAAATATCTTAACACAGCCAGTTCTTTTTAAAACAATCGGCCTAAAGTTTAAATACTTGTACTCCTTCAGTCAATACAATAGTGTTAATACAGTCACTGCAAAGAAAGATTCTGATATCAGGATCAGAAACACTTCATTGATCCCCAAGGGGAAATTGTGATTCATAGAAAGAGAAGTATGTAAATAAAATATAAAGTTAAAAAAACAGTAATATATGGTAAATAAAACAATGTTTAACATTAGTGCTTCAGAACTTAGGAATAAACTATGTTCACTGTGCTGAGTCTGTGTACAAAGTACAAATATCTGCACTGAGCTACATTACACTGTATAAACTAGTGTTTCATTCAGAAATATAACATTCTTATTATGCTAATTATAATAATAATAATGTTTGCTACATATACATCAACAGGATAAAACAGGAGTAAGAATAAGAGTAAACATAAGAAATATGTACAGGAATATACTTAAATATACAGTACATGTCGACAGTGGTGTAATGTAACTAAGTACAATTACTCAAATACTGCACACAAGCAAAACTTTGATTCTTAGACTTCACTTGCATATTTCCATGTTCTGCCACTTAATACTTCTACTCCTGTACTGTGTGTCTCAGAGGGAATTCTTTTTATTGCAGAATCAAAATCAGGTTTATGGCCAAGCAGGTGTCCACATACGAAGAATTTGCTTTGGTGTGTTCACATAAACACAAGAGAAAGTGAGGTAAAATAAATGCAAGGACTGCAAAAATAAAAAAAAAAAAAATATAAATATAGAATAGAGTAAAATTACAACATTTTTTTTTAAATCTTTCTATAATAAATCTTAATCAAACAGAAAGAGCTGTGCAGATTTTAGAAGTGGGACTTTGTGCAGCGATGTGCAAAATTGTCCCACTACATTTATTTAAAACTTGTAGTCACAAGTTTTTGCATTTATAAATATCATATACGCTGATATGATATGATGGAGTACTTTACTATTGAGTATCTAAAATTGACTCCACAGTGACAAATTACAACATTTATATACTCTTACAAATATCTATTAGTGATAAAAACAGAATTATATAATATACTACGATGATGTAACACTTTCTGGAGCCATTCTGTATTATGAGTACTTTTACTAATGATAATACTTTACTGTACTTTTCCTTTTATGACATTTTGAATTGACGACCTTTACTTATAATTGAGTACTTTTATACTGTGGTAATTTTACTTCTATTTATTGGTCTGAGTACGATAAAAGTAGAGGATAGATATAAACAGATATATAATACAAAAAAGTGTTATTTTCTTTAGGATTAAACTTGTTTTATCAGCCCAGTGACCATCTTCGCTTTAATCTTACTACTTTATATTTTGTTGCTTAAATTAAAGTGCTATAAGTAAAAGGTCAAAGGTCGTTTTTTTTTTTTTCTGACCTTCTCCAGCTCCAGGAGATGGAAGCGTAGCACTTGTATCGACTGGACCATCTGCAGAAAAACAAATGACAAAAAAACAACAATTATTTAAAACATTTCAGTATTTAAAATCATATTAACAATAATAACTGACTCACCAAATTATCCAGCTCTGGGTTTGATGAAAATAAAGGCCTCTCTGATCGGATCTGGACACAAAAAAAAAAAAGAGTTATAATCATTAAACAACAACCATCCGGCCTGGAGCCCGGACCCTCGGGGGCCCGAAGGATCCTGGTTCACTGTGCGATAAATCATTTGTCATCATTTAAGCTCCAACCAGCGATGACAACGGCAGCAGATTTATCAAAATCAAAATTCATAGTAGCTTTTGAAACAATAGTTCTTTGATTTCAGGCAGAAGCCGCCTCTCATTTGTCCAGTGATCCAGGAATTTGAAAGCTGAAATGACCACCGCAACAAGATGTTATTAGCTGCAGCTAGCTAGCTATTTAAGCTAATGTTAGCTCCATGAGGTGGTTGAAAATCTCCAGCTGACTTTTTAATGTGTCCACTAGACGTGATTTAAAATGAGAACCATGCTAAAAGACTGAAGCTAACGCTAACAGGTGTCACCACTGCTCACAAATGTATATTCTGCACAGAGAGAATGTCACTTTTGATACTTTTACTTTGCAGATAATAAAAAAGTAAATGCTTGAATGCAGGACTTTTACTTTAAGTAGTTACGTTAGATTTCTATTTTTTGTGTTGTAAAAAAAAAAAATCAGACTAATCAGGGTCCTACAGCTTAAAGGCCTTTGCACACTGAGTCCCAAGATGTCGCACGTCTTAAAATAAATATGACCTCATGTTGTGTCCATCACGTGTGCACATTGAGTTTGAAACTTTCGTCTGTCATTAAAGCTTTCAGAATAGGTTTGATTCCCTGTGTTTCTCGCCTCCTTCAGAAGCTGTGAAGAAAATGTGGCGGGTTGACACATCCATGACACGATAGAGGAACCTTCATAACTCAAGATGTGGATCGCACACTGACAGAGAGGGCGACAGTGTGAGCACAGAGCGGGAGGACAGCTCAGACCCTTCATACAGCTGCGGTGCCAAATGCAAGACACAAGGAAAAAGAGCAGTGACGGCCAGATAAATAACTCCAAGGGAAAGAAGCAAAGGAGGAAATGTGTCTTTACATTTAGTCTCGTATTGTGAACTTCCGCAGCGCATAGAACAAAGAAATGCATCAGACTGAGGGCGTGCCATATCATCTCGCTCGGGTTATAATGGTTTCATTTTTAATAGGATATGCAACAATAAATATTTTGACTTGTTGACATAATGATGTCATACTGTTACCCACTGCAACAAGAAGCATGGCTGAAAGGGGAAAAAACAACTCAGTCATTTAGGATTTTAATAAAAGAAGGAAATCACCTGTTGATTTATATATTTTTTTGTATTTGGGAGCTGTTTAAATGTGTAACTTGCGGTAGATTTTAATTTGTTGATCTATTAATATTGTAACAGAATCTGAATCTCACTCTGAGTTACTGTTGTTGTTCACAAACTAAAGAAATGAAACATCATTTTAGTTTTTACTGAATATTTGAAGCAAACTGTGAAACTATATCACTGATTCTGTTGCAGTTCTATCTTCTTAAATTAATAATATATTTTTTAACTAATTTGTCATATCGTCAAGAATATCGTTATTGCAGAAAAAACCTGAAATATTGTGATATCATTTTAGGGACATATCACCCACCCATACATTGGGCTCAGTATGGAAGGTTTTTGTATATAACAATTTTTTTCAGATGAGGGATTATAAAAGTGCATCCGCAAAAACTGACTCAGTGCGCAGAGGTCTTAAAGGTTTAAGACTTTTTTAAGGGCACACATAATAATATTTAAGACCAATGTTACACTATCCAAAATTAAAACATGACCGTCTCCAGCATCAATGACGGTGGGACATTTTTCCTCAAATGCTAAGTGTAACATAAAACACAGGGGAAAAATAGATGATGTAGATGTATGATAGATGTACTTTGAATGTTAAAAAAGATGAACACTGTGTAGGTGTGGCGGAGACGAGGGTGGAACAGAATCAGGAAATACCAGATGTTTGTTGGTAGTTTTTTTTTTTTTACGTTTCTCACTCTGCATGTCAGATTCCACTGCTTTGACACCCAACGTGCCGGGTTTGAAAAACCAATTGCATAAAACACATCGAGCGAGCCTCGACGATTTCCTTTTATCGATGTCAGCCTTGCCATAAAAGCTTGGTTAAAAAGACCATTTAGGTTGAATTTGTAATGTGATTAATTAACCTAAATCAATTGCAAACGTCTGTGGAAGTATTTAAAAAATTTCAATTCAAATGAATTTTGGCAGATGTGTCATAATAAAGCTGCTGCTTTTGGACACAATTGTTAGCCTGTCCTCTACTGCTGAACCTGGTCTGCAGTCCAAGGGAGTTCAGTAGTTGGTCACAGGTAGACTTATTCAGTTTGCGTCTGAACGCCTGGTCAAGTGTGGCGTGACGATGCTGGCTGCTAGCGTTAGCATCAGAGGCTGTGCTAGCTCGGAGCTCCAGGTTCGCTGCTAAATGCTTTGTGTTGAGGTGATATTTCAGACTTTAAGTTCTGCGAATGTACAAAAATTCCTTCCTGCAGAAACTGCAGAGAACGCTGCTCCTATCAACAGTTCCATCTGGACGTCATTTAAATGTAAACGTTCCAGTCACAGAGCCGAGAAGCGTTGTCTTGTCTGCCTCCATCATGTGACAAAGACACTCCCCCAATCCCAAATGGATCCCTTACAGACTCGTTGACTCAAGCCCTAAGCTTTGCCTTAGCTCTTAACCTGATGGAGTCTGAAAGGGATTCATTTGGGATTGGGGGACTGTGGCCCTCAGTGACGCACCGGGTCAAAGGGCACCACGGAACGCGATTAATCAGCATTACTTTTTTTAAATACACTATTTTTTTCTGTGATTAATTAATCAAAATTACCATGTTATTTTGACAATCCTAAAAAAAGGATTCATGAAATCATTCCTCCCATGTCCCAAACATTTTTAAGACTTCTGAAAAATTGATTTAAGACATTTTCATACCAATTCAGGCCTTCTTTTAGGATTAATGAATTGAATGTCTTTTAAGACTTTTTAAGGATCCACAGGTACCCTGACTAATAAACACACAACGCAGGTAAAGTGGGATAAACTGGGGGGTCACTGGGGGCCCACGGCTCATTTTAGCCGCGGGCTCATTGCAGGATTAATCCGGCCCTGGCCCTTTATGATCCTGCAGATCTGTTCTGTATTAACTCTGACACGTGGATAAAACGTGTGTTTCTGTACCTGTTTGGAGAAGACGGCGATGTCCTCGTTGAAGGAGTCCGAGGAGCAGACGTCTCCTCCGGCCACACCGCTCTCTCTCGGCGTGCAGGTTGCCAGTTCACATTTTTCAAAAATCAGTGCAAGCAGGGGGAATAAAGGATGTCTGCAGGAGAGAAGGAGGAGAGGAGGGAGGACAAAGAGGAGGAGGAAGAGGAGGGATCAGCTCAGACTGTAACACAAGTTTCCTGCCGCCCCTATGAGAAACATTCATGTGGCCTTAGATTCAGTAAAATAATTTTCAAAGCACTTTTATAAATTAAAAAAGGACCAAATTAAAGGAGTGTTTAATTCAAATTATGTATTTTTTTTGAAGTGTAGAAAGTTGCCCACGTTTGGAGATTTCCTACATTTCTGTCTCCAGCCTTTAATGATGGGGTCGAATGGAAAAGTATTTGTATGAAACATAAAAATGATTACAATTAAAACATGAAACTGCATCACTCCTCTTAAGTGTCCTCACTCACTCTGAACACAAGCCTATAGGGAATATTTCTTCAGTGTAAAGTTCACTTTCAATAAGTGGAAAACAAACATAGTTATGGTGTGAAGGAAGAAATCTGGACAAACAAAACCAAATCTTGCTGCATGATAACACCAGAGGGGAGTGAGAAAATATATATTTAAAAAAGCAATATAAAGGAGGAAGTAAAACTTGGATCTGTAATAAAACACAAAGCAGCTGCTTCTGATGCACAAGTACTGCACGGGAGAAAGGGAATTATTTCCCCCCAAGAAAATCAAGTCACACAAAAACTTGCATCACGCACATATAAGTACTACATGAGAAAATCACACAGAGAATATTTAGCCTGGGCCAACAAAAAATAGAATATATATATTTATATAACATTTTTAGGATGAACTTTGTCTGTCAAAACGAATAAGGTTCTGCAACCAATAGGATAGCTTATATAAAGCAGCTTAGAGCGACTTTCAAATGTGTGTAGCTCTATACAATCAAGCGCTAACCTTACTACACGTGTCTCAGTCGTGTGTTTTCCATGTTCACCAAATTGCCGACTGGCCTGACAATTTCAGGTGCTAATTTCAGACCCTGGTCACAACAAACTAAAGCTTGGATCTCATGTCATGCCCAGATTTCTTTGCTTCCATATTAACATGAAATAAGAAGGAGCTCTTTCAAAGAAATGTTGTTTCAACTTTAGTTTCAATTTAACTGAAGATAATTTGATATCCAGCTTTATACATCCCGTCCTGTGGTGACAAGAAAGTCAAAATGTTTTATCAAACAGGTCAACTTGACTTATATTAGCATTAAAATGTAAGAAAATTCCCTGACGCACTGTGAATAATGTCGTCTTGGTGAAAACACAAAAGTCCCCAGAATTGAACCCTGAGGAACTCCAAACAGTTTTTGGCAGTGAAGATTTGGTTTGATCGAGGTAGCAGAAATTAACAGGACCGAGTCCTGTAACTTGGACAGGAAACCCATAACTGGGGTTATGGTGTACTCTGATGATTAGGTGTAATCTGATTACTGGGCCTCTGTAAACAGAGAGTAGAGCTGAATCAGAACGTTTATCAGTAAGCACGTTTACATGGATGTGAATAACTCAGTTAAGATCAGGTTTTTGGAGTATTATGTTTATCTGTTTGAGCATTATCACATTATCCCGTGTATGTGAAACCCGAATATGCTAGCTGGAGAAATCAGAATGTCTACAGGAAGAATAAATAACTCGACTTATTGGTGCTCATGTTCATACCATATCCGCAATATGATCAGAACTGGGATAAGTCTCATAAAGGAGTTATTCATGTCCATGTAATTGCCCTAAGTGTTTCACTTATTTTTTTATGCTAACATGTCGAACATTAGCTGGTCGCAGCTTCACAAATATGAGGGCTTGCTGCTTTTCTCAATCATACATGATGGGATCTTTGAAGGTTTTGGACCGTTGGCCAGACAAAACAAGCAATTTGAAAATGTCTCCTCGGGCTCTTGGAAATGAGCATTTTCCACTTTTTTTCTGAAAGTTTACAGACAAAACAGTTAAAGTGTAGAACAGAGTGACAGAGAAAATAATCAGCAGATTAATCAACCACGAACTGACTAAAAGGTGAGTTGATTTGACAAAGGTTTTACAGTGCAGCTGAACGTCAGAAGCAACAAGTAGAGAAACTGCAGCTGCACACAGAGCAGAGAGGATCCTGCTGCTCCGACAGGCGACAAATATCCAAAACTAGTGTTTATGTTTTTGCATTTTCAAAGATTGTGGCAAGTTAAAAAGCTGAAGTCGTGCTTTTAAAGGAGTAATCTATTACATTTTCTGACAGGAGCTGACTACACAGGTTGGACATAACGTTATTAGAAAGGAAGAAAGTCTCGTGTGTGTTTGCTCTAAATTTTTTGGTTGTAACATTTAGAAAGTGTTGAACTTTGTTGTTGTTACATTAGAGAGAAACAGAGAAAGACATGTTTGAGCAGCCGTGGTGGAATTTAACTAAGGACGTTTATTCAAGTACAGTTTTGAAGCACTTTTACCTCACATGTTTATTTTTATGCCACTTTTGACTTTTCTTCTACAGCCTGCATTTCAGAGGGAAATATTGTACTTTTTACTTCTTTATGTCTTTCACAGCTGTAGTCAGATTGATTACGTTATTTTATACAAAACTTATAATGAGCTTATAGCATTAAGTGCATTGCTACAGGTAAAATTAGCTCAACCTGCACTTGTAATAATACATGATGTAATGAGAAGACAATAAAACACTGACAGGAGCCATTTTTCTGCATAACGAGTACTTTAACTTTGGATACTCTGATTACATGTTGCTGCTCATACTTACATATTTTTACTGAAGTAACTTTCACTTGTCAAAGAGTATTTTTAATGTACTTTAACTTAAATAAAAGGAGCTGAATATTCTTCTTCCACCACTGTTGAGTCGTCTGTTTCGTTCTGACCTCCTTATGAACGCACAGCAGGCCTCACTTCATCACACACAAACAATGCTGTTCTGGCTCAGCTTGGCCTGGAATGGCACGGCTCGTAACGCCGTCCCAAACAGTGACACAGATAAATCAAACATGAAACGACACCAAGAATCTGTTTTCACAGAAGAAGAAAGAAGAGCTGTTTTGTCCTCATGTGTCCTGTCTATTTTTGTCATGTTTTACAGTGTCAGTAAACTCATCATACCCATAAATGGCGTCTTTGTCCCTCTTGACGGTGTCCCCAGCTGTGGCACCCATGCTGCTGCTGGTGTGGGTGGACTGGGCGTACTGGTGCGGAGGGTATGGCCCAGCAGCAGCGGCGGCGGCCAGGTGCACGGCCTGCAGAGAGCGGGCAGCAGCGGCATGGTGGTGGTGATGCTGGTGTGGGTCTCCGTACACCCCGCCCACCCCCTCCAGCCCATAGTGGGCCAGGTCTTCATACTGAAACACAGAGATAAGAGATGAGTGACCTTTGACCTCTTTAGTAGCTTTAGAGCTGCCCGCTGACCTCAGGGGAGGTCGAAACGCAGATAAATGTGAACGTTAAAGGAGGTCAGACAAACTGTGTGCAGCGTTTACAGCAGGGTGAAGACGTTTATTGGACTTTATTTAAACGTGAGTTGAATTTCAACAGGTGTAAAATTAATTGCTAATTTCAGAAAAACAAACACCAACAAGACTGGTTTTATTTCTTTAAACAAAAAGATTCCCAACTTTCTTTGTAAAAGTACAAAGTGGGTGTTTTTCTATATAATAATGAACATATAAATACATGCAAGTATAATTAAATCTAATAGAACAAAAACCTTAAAGTGATCTTAGAGTAAAGTCAAGGCCTCTCACAAACACTAAATGTCAACAACAAAAATAATAACGAGGCTACAGGTGTTTCTGTTTTTATGTCCACCCCTTTGTTTATTACCTCTAATGTGACACACACTGTGATGCTCTGAGAAATTATTCATATTTTTACACTTCTAAACACCCAGTCTGTTTAAAATGTATTCTGACAATCTTAGATTTTTCACCAGAGATTATTTTTTCCATGATCAAAATAAAAGACTGACTATTCAGAATAAAACGCCCTTAAACCTTCTGAAGCAGACGAATGATTCTATTATAAATACAGAGATTTACAAAATAACATCAACACAGTGGAATTAAAACGTCTCTGACATTAACTCCATTTGTTGCAGGGCTGTTTGTTAAGATTACATTATGTAGGTGTTCCTATTATTTTGACCCACAGGATCAATTAACTTTTAAACTCCTGTCTGTGGACTCAAATGATATAAAAGCAAAACTCAAATTAATTTCCAGATAAAATCATGGAAATTAAAACTGTAAATTTCATGTTAACTTTTCCTAAAAACAACCCGAAGCTTCCTGAACCTAAACAAAGTCACTCCACTGGGAGTAGTAGTAATAGTAGTAAATAAGACGAACACTTTAAAACATTCATTAAGTTAAAACAAGGCGTCTCTGACATTAACTCTGTTTGTTGCAGGGCTGTGTGTTAAGACTGCACCGTGCAGGTGTTCCTATTATTCTGTCCACCCTCCTGTTTATTTTGTCTGATGTGATCAATACTGTTAAAGAGTTTTAAACGTCATCTGTGGACATAAATGATACAAAAGCAAAACTAGAGACAATTTTCAAATAAAATGATGAAAATAAAAATGTTAAATTTCATGTTAACTTTGTCTAAAAACAACCTGAAGCTTCCTGAAACTAAACAAAGTCACTCCACTGGGGAATTCTCTACAGAGGGGGGTGGACAAAATAACATGAACACTTTAAAACATGATGCACTCGAATGCAAAAACATTAATTTAGTTAAAACAAGATGTCTCTGATTGCATTGTGCAGGTGTTCCTATTATTCTGTCCACCCTCCTGTTTATTTTGTCTGACATGATCAATACTGTTAAACTTCTAAAATATGTCCCTGGACATAAATGATACAAAAGCAAAACGAGAAACAATTTTCAAATAAAATGATGAAAATAAAAATGTTAAATTTCTTGTTAACTTTGTCTAAAAACAACCTGAAGCTTCCACCCGGGGAATTCTCTGCACAGGGGGTGGACAAAATAACATGAACACTTTAAAGCAAGATGCATTCAAGTGCAGAAACAATCAAGTTAAAACAAGACGTCTCTGACAGAGTCTAAACTATAAACTGCTGCAGGACTGTTTAATAAGACTGCACTCTGCAGGTGTTCCTATTATTACGTCCACCCTTCTGTTTACTTTTTTTAATATGATAAAGAGTTTTTAAACAACACGTCTGCAGACACAAATGATATCAAAAGCAAAACTCTATTCAATCTACATATATAAAACGATGGACATTAAAAAAGTAAATTCTATATTTACTTTTCCGAAAAACAAGCCGGATGCTTCGTCTGTCCACTGGGGAATTCTCTGCACGGGGGGTGGACAAAATAACATGAACACTTTAAAGTAAGACGCATTCAGATGCAAAAACTATTATATAGTTAAAACAAGACGTCTCTGAAATAAACATAAAGTGTGTAAACATCAGTTTGCACTCTGCAGATACTTATTTTGAATTATAGTCATATTGTCTATTCTCTTAAATACTTTATTAAACTTTGACTTCAGTGTCCCAGCAAAAATCTATTACGTCAAAAAGAAAATAAAAATTGTAACTATATTGTAAGTATATTTATGTCTGCGTCTTTATCCCAGTGTTTTCTAACATGGTGTATAAAGAGATTTTGTAGTAAGTTGAAACAATGCAAACTGCAGTCTGACATTAGGTAAAATAATAAAACTTATTTGAGCCAAAAAGAGTTTCTTTTTAATTGAAACAACTGAAGTTTAATTCCTTTTTTGTCTTTTAAAGAATGTGTCTGAGTCTTTGTGATTTTATTTCATCATATTTGAAATATAAACTCACACTCATTAAAAAAAAAGACTGTAAAACGTTAAATCTCCAAAGCAACAAGACAAAAAGAGTCATTGTGAGGAAAAATATGTTTTAATTTCAAAATCAAAAATATGATTTTAGTTTTATTTCTATTAAGAAAACCAAATATATTTGTATAATATTTCTATAATGATGTTTTTAAATAAACTTCTTAAATTTAAAAACTGCATTACTGAAGCCAAAAGGTGATTTACACAAAAATTAAATTATATTTTTATTTAAATAACCAGCACGTCTTGTTTCTTTTATTCTTTTTATGTGTTTAAGACAAATCTGCTGGTGCTGTTTGTTTCATTATTTAAAGTGTCTGTTCTTACTTTAACCGCAGCAGCTACAGGTCCCCACTGTGAGCAAAATCAGGTCAACAATACGCCAGATATTTATCATTTAAATATTTTTATGATATAATAAAGTTTTAAAGGAGCTCTCATTAAAGGGTCTCTGTGTGGGGATTAGGCCGATCACTGATCAGTAATCAATAAAACGCAGTTTAAGCTTTGACCTCGACAAACAGCCGCCAGAGTGAAGAAAAAAAACGTTAATATTAGAAAATGTTTTAACTTCAGAAAAGTGACTTTGTTGGAGTGTGTGTGTGTCGAGCTCCATCAGTTCCGGCTCAACAGATTTTTATCAGCCGTGAAACAAAAAAAATAAAATGTTTGTTCTTTTATTCTCCGCCGCTGAAGCACAAAACGGCCGAAACACAGCGCGTGCAGCCGGAGCCCAGATCATCTGCTCTGTGTGAGCTCAGATTCTTCTGACGTCAAAGTCCTGAACTTCATTTTAGTTCAGAAATTTAAAAAAAAAAAAAGGGAATAAAAGTTTTAAAAGTTCACAAGTTTTACTGTTGGAATAAAATAATCCTGTTTTTTCTTTCTAACTGAAAACTTTGGTCATAAATCAAGTGTAAAGTATGAACTGAAAAAAAACTTTAAGGCCTAAAATTCAAAATAAACTCATAAATCTGAAGCGTTTCTACAAACTGCAGCAACTTTATTATCAAAAATATAATTTTATATTTGTGTAAACGGTCTCCTGCCGCTGACTTTTATTTTTCTCCATTTCTCTGCTCACTTTTTGTAAAGTGAATTTAATGAAAGCTCCGTTATTGTGTCAGTGCCGTTATTATTTACTCAAACAAAAGTTTTAGAAAAGTGTGTAAACGTTTTTATTTTAATCTGTTAATATGAAGCTGGTTAAAAAAAAGAAAACTATGAATTCCAGTTTTAATCCTGCCTGTGAACAGTTAAATAGATTATTTTTACGCACGCACAAAGTTTGTTTCGTTACACTTTGAGATTATATGGTAAATATTTAATTAGCTATAAGACGAATATTCATAAAGTGAATTTTGTTTCCACATCAAGGTTAATTTATTCATCAGTTAAATAGTTTAAATCCTGTTTCCTCTCAGTTTTGTGTCAATTTAATGAAATATAGTTAGTTGACTGTTTTCCACGGATCCGAACTCAGTGTATTGAACATGAAACTTGTGCAGCTGAGACCAACCCGTCCTCACACTCATCTGCTGCCTGCGCTCCAAGAAAAGTTGATTTTTACGCACCCGTTGCGCCATCGGCCCCGTCTCTCCGCCCGGACTCCAGGTGACTCCTGCGGGGCAAAACACACATCCAACTCCCCGGTACCGGAGCGTTAATCAGTTAATCCCGTGTGTAACGTGTGTACGCGAGTCCAGGCGCGGAGGAGAAAAGAAAGGCACAAACACACACACAGAGGAGCAGCAGCAGCAGCAGGTCCCTGCAGGCTCCGCTCCGCTCTCCGCGGGAACCGACCGACGGCGACACTCCGCCACCAGCAGCAGCAGCCCGGGCAGACGCTGTCCTGCTCCCGGCCTCCAGCTCCGAGCAACAACCGCCCAACGAACCGCTCAGTCAGCAGCAGGCCGAATCCGATCAGGGTACATCCAAACCGGGGGGTTAAAGTGAGGCGGACCCGCCCGCTGCGCTCTGAGCCGGGCCGTGCTGCGCTGTCTTCTTCGCGGAGGTGCGTTCAAATCCCCATCGCAGCTCCGGCGGAGCGGCTTCCTCCTCCCTCAGAGCAGGCCGTCAGGGTGTGAGGGGAGGCAGGGAGGGAGGGGGGACGGGAGGGAAGAGGGGAGGGGGAGACGGGGGGAGAGAATAGTTTCTTTTCTCACTTAAAGGAGCAGAGACTCTCCGCGCGTCCCCGCTACTTCCACAAGACATGCCAAGGCGCGCCACCGCGAGGTGCACTGGATGGAGGGAGGCACATGGGACAAGTTTGCCTGCAGGGCTTTCTGCCAGAAATCTATTCATTTAACCCAAATCATGATCTTATTCCTAAACTGGACCAAGAAAAGAGGAGGCCGTCTGTCAGAAAGCCCTGAAGGTAAACTTCTCCCAACAGCTGGGGGCAGAGGACAAACAACATGTCTCCTGTTGCTGATGAAGAGACAAATATTTGTGATAATACAGAGAATCGTTGGGACTAAAGAAATGAGGGTGGAGTCAGGTGATGAGGGACGTCAGGTAAAACAGGACAAACAAGCTTTCACATCTAGAGCTCTTAAAATATCTGCAGCAAACCCCAAATGTGTTATTGCATCATCACCACAAATGATTTTGTTTGCAGATATCTGATATGCTGATATGTAACAACTCATTTGACTGATGATATCAATATATCCACTTTTTTCCTACCTAATTTTAGTGATCATCACGTCTCTTGTGTGGTGGAATGAACATCATATTATACATACTTACTCTTATCATGACGGCCAGCAGCAGATGGAGACATGAAATACAATACTTGTAAATGTTTGTATCATTCAGTTATTGTGCAAAGTAAGAAAAAGCATGTTGGCCAATTCTGATGAGGTGCCCATATTATCACGCTCTTCTACAAATGTCTTTACTTGAAACAATCACTTTGATTGGTCCTAACTCGTATGGACACACAATAGATTCCAACTATCAGTGGTCCACAAGCTGCCAGGTGGCACACTGAGTTTCTCATCTTGGTAATAAGAGCGCCGCAGCTCAATAATAAGTATAATTACAAAAATATTTGTAGGTTGTTGCATTTTATGTGTTAAGTGTTAAGTGTCTGACAAAATAATTTCACAATACACTTCACCTTTTATGGGAAATGGTTTTGATTTAGTAGCAGGGGCGTTTCTAGGATTTGAGGACATCGGGGGCTCAGCCCGCGGGTCCAGGTGGGATCCTCCCCTGGGAAATTATTTTTTAAGACCAAGCTCTATTTTGATGCTTCTTTTAACGCACTCTGAAAACTGTTTCTTTTTAATTTTATTTTCCAGATTAATGATGAATTGTGATGTTAAAAATATTAATAGTTGGTAATTAGTATCGTGTCGAGACAAAATACTTTGCAACTGCTACCATTAAAATTTGTAAACTCGAGTATTTCCATTTTATGCTACTTTATACACTGTAAAATATCTGACTGTGCATTTAAATTACTGGCTACTAGTTGCATCACTTTCACAGTAAGTTACTGTATAATTTTTAGAGTAAATTGTTGTGAAACGACGGCTGCATACTGTGACGTCACAGTAGTTATGCCTGCATGTTACTGTGATTTAGCACTATGCTCCTGTGAAATGACATTATTTAACTGTAACCTCACAGTTAAAGCCTGTTACATTACTGTGAAATAACAGTATGTTCCTGTAAATTACTGTAATTAACCGTAACTGCAGTCTATGTACATTTGATTACTGTAATTTAGCATACAGTATGCTCCTGTAGAATTACTGTATTTCACTGTAATCTTAGTTAAACTCCAAATATTACTGTGATTTAACAGTGTACTTCTGTATAATTACTATATTTACCTGCATGAATTTCACAATAAAATTCTGAAAGCAGTTAAATATCACAGTTGTAGCCTTTAAGGTGATAATAATGTCATTTATTGTGATTGTGTTTAAATAATTTGCAGTGTACTTCTACTCCTCTTCATCTCACAGGGGAACACTGTAGTTTTTACTTCACCACATGTGTGAGTCTGCTTTAGTTATTTAAAGACTTTGATTATATAAAATATAATCGACTAATAAATGATGATGTATGATCATAGATTAAACTACCCAGCAGTATATGAAGCATTTAAAATGAGCTCGTCTGCAACATTAAAGTGATTACAGGTGCGCTCCGTCTCTTATACCTGATCAATGAGATCGTATTATTTGCATGAATGAAATTACATCATTAGATCTAGGTTTTTTATTATGTGGGCCTATTTCTATCTTATTAAAATATACATACATCCTATTTAGATCCAGAGCTGTTCATGTAACATTCATGGCTGAAGCCTCGGACACCCAGGCCTAACGACACTGCTGCTGAGTACTTTATGCATTCAGGTAAAAAGGGACAAAAACTTAAGCTAAAATCTATTTTCCTAAAGTAAAACCAGCATGTTTCAGGCTACCAGGTGCCATAAAATCACATCTTACACTATTGTGCACCATCCTGTAACACTGCAGATATTTTTTTAGTATTTTTGCCACCCAAAAGATATTAAAAAAGATATTAAAGATGATGCAGTGAGTCCATGTTGCCACAGCAGTCCAGAATGAGCTGAAACTGTTACACACATGTACGTCCACTGTGGACAAAATGGCACCAAGGAAACAGGCAGCAAACAAACAGGGAAAGTTTGGCTGCAGGATCTTTTTTAAAGAATACTTTGTTACATTAACGATTTAATGAATTAATGACTGAACTGATCAATGGATTTAACCCTTTAAAAGACAAATACGTCCCATTTTACCCGAACAAGTCATCAGAGTGAGGTATGGGTACTTGATGTGTTTGGAGGTTCAAAGTTTCTAAACTATTTTACTTGGCAACATCATTTCTTTATAGAAATATGGCAGCGATGCACAACAAACTCTAAAGGTAACACCTGAGGACTTCACCTCTTTGGTGTCGTTGTTTATATGTTAACACCTCAAGGCCTGAAATACAGAAACGTTTCAACACAACAAAGGAACATAAAACATTTTTAAAAGTCAAAATCGTAGATAAAAAAATCTCCAGACTTTCAGGGGCCCTGACGGCTCCTGGTTTACAGTGTGGCAGTCCGGCTGTGGTCATTTGATTAACTGCAAATGTGTTAGTTAACAGTGTCCGCACCAGAGCACAATATAAACTGAAATGAGAGGGGCCCCGAGGGGACACCTGCCATTATTACACATTACTGCATTTTGCAGAGGGGCCCTGAGTCCACATCTAGTTTTAAGCCCTTCAGTTCATATGATGCATAAACAATGCACAGAGTGGGGGACATGGGGAGTCGACAGGGACCTGCAGCACAGGGCCCGTCTGGTGAGTTAATCTGGCCCAGAGTTCAAATCTATCACACAGTCTGCAGAAACCTGTGAGCTACATGTCAAATTATCAGGCTGCTAAACGACTGTGGCAGTCATTAGGTTTGTCTCTTCATTTGTTGTTGTTGTTGTTGTTGTTGTTGTTGTTGTTGTTGTTTATCACCTGGCTCCTGTGTAAGCCCGTATGTGGCGACCTGTGGGTGCCAGAGTGTGTTCATGACACCATAATGCTGATCTGTTGTCACTGACACGTTGTTGATTTTCAAGCCCTGCTCAGCCCTTCTGAGTTTGTTTTTTGTTTGTTTTATTATGTTCACTCAGTTTTTATCTGTGAAACCAAATCGCCTGTTTGGGATAAATAAAGTTTTCTGAACTGAACTAAACAAATAACAGCACATTGGACAAATGTCTCTTTTATGTACTTTTGATCTTGTTTTTTGAACCTGACACACGAGTCAGCGCTGAGCTGCAGAGTGGAAACACCTTGCACATGTTTGACAGCTGAGATAAATAAGTGAGGCTGATATATTTCTGATTTAATATTCATGTGTCTAAAGTCTATAAAAACGCCATGATTCCATTTCTTCTAACTTCACTGTAACATGACTTTGCTTTCTTTTATTATGGCTCGGTAACTTGTTGCAGTCATTAGTTTAACAGTGTCGACCTCAGTTGTTCTAAAGAAAGAAGATAAATCTGTATTTTTAAAATCAACTCATGTCAAAGTTTAAATACAGAGGAGACAATAAACTGTAGTGTGTTTACTGTGTTTGCACACTCTGCTCAACTCTTGGACACCTGCGCCATCTAGTGTTTGTAAGGTGTTAACACCAGCCTGAGCGCCCTCATGTATCACGAACCACATTTCATGAAGACTTTGCTTGGATTTGATGAGAGATGGAGGTCAGTTAAAACTTCCTGTGTCTAAAACACCACCGTGGATTTGAAAGAGCCACAGCCAGGAGTCAACATGAACATAACTGAGCAAAGATCTGTACAGCTATCACAGTATAACTTTAAGTTAAAATACAATTTTGAGGGAAATCAAAAGATCTTAAAGACAGAAATCTCAAAGCAAATAAAACCAAAATTAGATTCACGGCCCAACACCACAGAAGTATTTTTGTTCAAATTTGGGTGAAATGACCCTTTAAGTCCCCTATTTCAAGAGTATACACTCATAGGCATCTTTATCAGGTACACCTGTTCAATTTCTCTTTAATGCAAAATGCTGAAGTTCAAACGGAGCATCAGAATGATGAAGAAAGGTGATTGAAGTGATTTTGAACGTGGCATGGTTGTTGGTGCCAGACGGGCTGGTCTGAGTATTTACTGGGATTTTCAGCACAACCATCTCTAGGGTTTACAGAGGATGGTCCCAAAAAGAGAAAATATCCAGTGAGCCAAAATGCCTTGTTGATGCCAGAGGTCAGAGGAGAATGGCCAGACTGGTTCAAGATGATAGAAAGGCAACAGGAAGTCAAATAAGCACTGGTTCCAACCAAGGTGTGCAGAAGAGCATCTCTGAAGCAACAACACCTTGTCCAACCTTGAAGCAGATGGGCTACAGCAGCAGAAGACCACACCAGGTGCCACTCCTGTCAGCTAACAACAGGAAACTGAGGCTACAATTCACACGGGTTTTCTCACCAAAACTGGACAATAGAAGATTGGAAAAACGTTGCTTGGTCTGATGAGTCTAAAGTTGTGTAACTGTCATTTGATCAATTCAAGTTTG